AAGGGGAAGGAGGAGGGGGGCAGGTGGATGAGATGGGAGGGAAGATATTTGGGGTTTGGACATGCCCAAGCTGTCAGAGTCTGATTTCCATACGATAGCATCTGAGGCTCAGTATTTCTCTGTACCTCTAGGCAAGGTGTGGTTCTCTCAGGGGCAGCTGGAATATCTGCAAATCAGGATAATAAAAAGCATAACTGATTTCCAGGTGCCCGGTAAGCATGCCCCTCTCCCATGCATCTTCTCTCCCTTTGAAGGACTAACTCCAGCCGTGGATATGGGGGCCTTTTTGAACTGGTCAACGTTAGGAAAAGTGGGAGGGAGAATTAGATGGTAGCAGACCTATATGTTTCATTCAGGCCAAATTCTTGCTTTATGCATGGAGAAACTAAAGACCTGACTAGCCAGGTCAAAGGAGCTCCTGAACTGAAGCCCTGGCTCTTAATCCCCAGGGTTTCTTCCTCGTGCCAGTGGCCACATCCTTTTCTTCCCCATTTTTCTCCATGCCCTCCTCAACCTGTAAGACCAAACCTCTGGCTGCAAACCTGTAAGACCAAACACCTGTTTCCCCGGGCATGCTCAGTGTCCACATAGCTACTGTCTTGGGAATATTGCTATGCCTACTAGTTTTGAAATGGAAAAGATGGCGCCTCCCTTGGGGGGCCTGGCAGTGTCGAGGATTGCTAAGCAGTCTTGCCGGAGATAACGTTCAACACTGAACACTTCTTAGAGCTGCACACACAAGTGTCATGCACCCCCATGTGGCAATGACACCGGCACAGAGGATCTCTATGACACCCGAACTGGCTCACCAACCACATCACCAAATGCCCCCAAAAGACTGAGGAGAGCCTTGGTTCAGAGACCACGGCAGAGGTGAACTAAGTCATCAGGGCATGGAGGAGCTCCTTGGGTGGGAGAAAGTGAGGAAAGGAGAGGTTGGAAGAACTGTGGGGAAAGGACCACAGGGGGAACAAAAGGAAACAAAGCACTCAGAGCCCAAGAAATCCCAGTCTAACAACCAGAGGGAGCTTCCGCACAACCTAGAGCCAACCATGGACCCATGCTGTGTTCTGAAGAGTAGATATAGCAGTCACATTAAGCCCTAGGTCATCCTGAAAGACAGAGGGAGAAGGGGAAAGAGAGAAGAGAGGGAGGGAGGGAGGGAGGGAGGGAGAGAGAGAGAGAGAGAGAGAGAGAGAGAGAGAGAGAGAGAGAGAGAGAGAGAAATTGAGCACCATTGTGTCTTTATGTCAGCCCCATTGATGGACAGAAACACCAGGAATTCAGGGCTAGGTGGCTGTATAGTCCTGGAGCTGAGGCCCGCATTTCACCTTAGAAGTCGCCTTAGAAAGACCAATCACAAAGGCTGTCATTACTCTGTCACTTGGAATGTTCCATTCTCAAGAATCAGTTCCACACTGCCCAAAGCTGGACTACAGGTGCCACACAGGGCCAGGACATGCCACTCGGTTGGGAAGAGAGAGCCTCTCACATGCTCGCGCTAACCAGGGCATGCCACTCGGTTGGGAAGAGAGAGCCTCTCACATGCTCGCGCTAACCAGGCAGCCATGGTCTTGCAGGTGGCTCCACAAGGAACCAAATGTAACTTGAGGCTGTGAATGCATCAGGGCCTCTCGGCGTGGCTTTCTTGAGGAAATATCAGAGGTGAGGAGAGGTCAAAACCACCATAGCCATCACCTCTCAGAGAGTGCAACATGGAAACCCCAAAACTGGATGGTCTTATTCCCCCTCTAGAGCTGAGACTGAGGAAAAGGGGGACTGGAGTGAAAGGAGATAGGAGGAAGAAACTCTTGATCCAGTGAGACTCAGGGAAATGCAGTGACAGAGATTCAGCAGTCTCTCAGTCACAGAACACAACTAGAGAACAATGTGAGGCAGACCTCAACTTCCCAGTCATCTATAGCTTTCTTCTTGAACAGCAACAGGAGATACATATCCTATACCTTCACTGTTTTGGGTCTCTGGTCCCAGGATTTTCTTCCACTTGTAAAGAATGTGGCTTCCAGAGCCAATGGTGCTCATAAGTCAATTACTAGAAAAAGGAGAAGCAATTTGTCCCTGTGGAGTAAGCATCTCCAAATATAAAAGGATGTTAAAGGAAATCTTTTTCCTTGAGAGAAGCCTTTCCCGCCAGCCTGGTTCTAGAGCTGCATCAGTCCCAAATAAACACACAGGAGGCTATATTAATTATGAAGCTGTTGGCCTTGCTTGTTTCTTACTGGCTAGCTCTGACTTAAGTAATTACCCCATAATTGTTAATCTAAGTATTTCTCTTACTGGAGACGTTCGGGGCTTCCTACCCCATGGCGTTACATCTTGCTGAAGATTATGCAACATGGATGACCCCACCTGATGTTGAGCCGTGCAAAAAGTTGAGGTACTTGACCTGGCCTCTAGTTGGTTTGGATGTGTTTTTTTTCCCCCATCCAAGTACTAACCAGGCCCGACCCTGCTTAGCTTCCAAGATCAGATGAGATCGGGCGCGTTCAAGGTGGTATGGCCGTAGACGGATGTGTTTTTTTCTAAGAGTCTGTACATTAGAAGCGTAACTCTCCAGATGGGGACTGAAAGGTGATGTGATAGAAGTTAGAGGCGAGGCTTCATGAACGGTAACTATGGCATCAGGGTGATGCTCTCAGGATGGCTTAGATGTAGTTCTCCTAGAACATGGGCTAGGTCTCAAAAGAGTGGATTATGATATATAAAAAAGCCAATCCCTCCAACTTCAAATTCTTCTGGCTTCCTGTCTGATCATGTGATCTATCCCCCCATTGCCCACTCCTGACATCATGACACCATCTGCCATGAGGCCCTCATTAGAGTGAAGTAGACCCATGGTATCAATGATCTTGATCCTCCAGAAGCCTCAGCTTCTTTATTGAGTTCACCATAGGAACAGTAAATGGGATACTACCATCTGAGAGCAAGACAGAGCCTCTGTGCCCAGAACCTATCAGCAACCCCAAACGGGATTCCATACGGTGCCAGCCAGCATGGGAAGGCAGCTTCATGCATGGAATCAAAGGTTGACACTGAACATTCTCCTTCGAGGGTAAAAGAAAACAGAACGATGTGGTTGAAGTAGAAGTGCGCCAAGCAAAATAAAAACAAGACAAGGACAAAAACAAAAAACCACTCAGCATTCAAACTTTTTAAAAAGCCTTACAAAAAGCAAGGAGAATAAAAGGTAAAGGAGGTCACAAACAGAAACAATTAATGACTTGTTTTAATAAAACCTGTCACACAGCTCTCTCAATCATTTTCCAAGAAATCAAAACTCATGGAAATATAAACTACCTTATTAACTATATCGCATTAATTTTTTGACGTTATTAATGTGGCAATGGATGTTTCTTTTGTTGGTTTTTGTAGACCACGCTGGCCTGGAACTCACAGAGATCCACCTGCCTCTGCTTCCCAAATGCTGAGATTAAAGGTGTGTGCCACCACTACCCAGCCTGCAAATGGATGTTTCTGTGGGCTGTGTGTGTGGTCCACCTGGGAAGTGAATTCCATATATACAAAGTGAGAAGACTGAAATCACGATCAACATCAACAAGAGCTAGTATGGGGTGGTCACTCTGCATCAAAAACAAGTCTAAGCTCTTAGTACAGTCACATTCATTCCATCAAAGCTGGAGTTATAGGTGATGGTAAGTCCCTGGCCTGGGTGCTGGGAATGGAGAATCTCAAGTCCTTGCCAAGGCCAGTGAGATTTCTTAACCATGGACACCTCCTGAAACCCCCAGATAACTACTTTTAAACATTAAGGGACACAGGTGATTCCCTCCAGGTCTGACAGAAATCTATGGACCCTCAGAAACACACACACACATACACACACATGCACACACAAGTGCACACAACTTTTAGAAAGTAACTCAAGAGACTCTAGGGTATCCTAAAGCAAAATTCAGTTTTCAAACCATTCCAAAGAGTTTCCAAGTATCAATACTGCTGGGTTTTTCACTTACCTGATTCCTTTTATAAAGAACAACAATACAGCTAATGAACATAATATCTTTATCCATGACATCCCCCCCTGGGAAAAAAAACCCTTGCTGCTATCTATACCCCCCAAACTGCACCACTCCCCAGTACCTCACCATCTCAGTACAAGGCACTGCCACACACCACCACATGAACAATATCCTAGAATCATACTCCCAGGCTCGCCTTCATTCTCCCCCTTGCTCAATTACGCCGAGCCTTGCACAACCATCACTGAGTGCCTGTGACGTTCCAGGCATCTCAACAGAGAAGTAGGCAATGACCCTGTGCTCGTGGAGCTTGCAAGCTTATGGAGCGGACAGTACAGTGTCAAACCAAAGAAGTAAGCACAGCACATGCCAGACGGTGGCCTGGGGAAAGAGGAGATACAGAGAAGTCGTGGGGGAAGAGGAATTATAATAAACAGAGGTGGAGCAGGGAAGGGCAGGCATTCGAGCAAACATGTGAATAGGAGGCCGGCATGTGGATGCCTATGAAAAAGCTTTTACATGTTTATTATCTTCCTTACCCTGTTGAGTATAAACTCCACAAGGTTGGGGGTTCTTTGTTCACTGCTGGGGGCCAAGTATCTATACCAATGCCTAGCACATACCAAATGAATTTTAGCTAAATTAAAAATAAATGAGGTTATCTTCCAGGCTAGTCAAAACCAAGGGTTAAAGCCATAGTTCTAAATCTTCCAACACAAAAAATAAACAGGAAAGCTTTAATAAATCATAAATAATATATCACCACAAAAATCTTACTTTAAATACCAAAGTATCTTTAATTAAGTGCTGATTTCAGAACAAAGAAGAAAGATAATGACTGAAGACAGCTTGTCATTTTAGAGGGGGGAAATTAAATATATACATATTAATATATGCATATTAATCTGAACTCCAACTTAGAATAGTCAAACAAAGAACCAACAAGCAAACAGTAGATCCTCTTGCAAATTGAGTTTTGAAACTAAAAATTATCCTTAGGTACTACGATTTCTGGATGCAGAGCAATTGGGCAGAAGGCTGTCAGCGCCTCACCTTGCATCATGTACATTTGGTAAGACGATGTCCCCTTTCTAAGAAGCTGGAGGTAGGTGCCACCGCATTCCCCAGGGTGCTCCTCGGGCTACCCCAGTACAGGTCTGGATTTCTAGAGTACGCGGATGTCCTTGAATCTTAAGCTTCCTATGACTGACTCATCCGTTGGTGCTGGTGAATCTACAGGCATGGCCTGGTCCCCAAGAATCATTGACTCAGTTTCCTAGAAACAAGCGGTGCTCAGACTTTCTATCCATCAATCCCATGTATGAAAATCCTTGTGCATACAAGAGGACAAAGTGTGTCTAGGTGTGTGCCCATGTCTGTGTGTGCATAAACATTGAAAGGGCAACTCACAGTTCATACTTCCCTATCTGCAAGTGACTTTTTTTTACAATGACAACCTCAAACTAAGACCTTGATATGCCAATTCGAATCAGTGTCTTCTAAAACCATGCTTCGTCTCTAGGAAGAACAGGTACTAATGGGATGGGTATCACACCAATTGGAAGGCCAGCTGCAGGAGATACTCTCCAGACATATTGTCCGCAAAAGTCAACACAATCTGGCAAAGTCAGCAACATGAGTTCCCTGAATTCTGCAGCATGTGACTTCATGGATGGTGAATCTTGCCATATTACAGGTAACACGAGCTCTGAAACCCTTCTTCTCTCATTAGCCAGCAGTGCCAAGGCGAAACTGAAATCACTTCACCTTAACAGTATGATATGTAACCTCTGCAGTACCGAACATCATTAAATTTTTAAAAGAGTGTGTTAGGGGAAGTCCTTTAATCCTTCAATAATTGAGCTGGGGAAAAGGGCCTGTGATGGGCAGCATTTACCTGAGCTGATATTAACTATGGTTAGCTACTAATGGCTTTTCAACAGTCCCACTGTGTCCATGTTGCCATTTAAAAGAGTACATTCCATTTGGCCCTTGCTCTTTAACTGTCAGCAGGGAAACTGAAAAATAATACATCATTAAGTATTGCAATTTGTGTTATAGGTAGATCTCCACATCTCCCTCCTAGCACTTGAGCTCAGTCAAAACTAAGCCCTAACAACCAGTTGACAAGAAGAAAACTTCATTCCCTGAATCAGCTAGATGTCTGGGATATCAAATAACCCATCACTAGTATATTTCCCACTGAATTTACTGGCCACAGAGGCAGAGCCACTAGAAATCACTCAGCATCATTGGGAACACCAGATTCCATTTCATTCCCTCCTAAGCTAAGAGGTCTGGCCCCTGGTGTACTTCTATATTTTTCTTTTCTGAGTCATAAGGTTTGGAAAGTTCTTCATTGTAAGTAACCCCAACAACTGTACACAGCTTCTCTCGCCCCTGTCTAAACAGTGAATATTAAGCACAGCACACATAACACCGTGAATATTAAGCACTGCACACATAACGCCTGTACTTCACACCTCTGAGAACTCAGGGTAAATAAATGGGTGATGGGATCATCTAATGGGTTTAAAAGACTTGCCCATCCAGCCAAAGCCAAGACAAAGACAGAATTACATATAGCTCACCACCTCTGACACCCTACTACACTCTATGCAGTCTATCCTCCAATGTAGGGATGGAAGTGGATGGACAAATGCTAGGGCTTGCCTGTGGTTTGAGGGTATTCTTCAAGGGTGCTTGACTGGCACTGCATCCTCCACATGGTGATGCTGAGAGGTAGCAGAACCTTTAAGAAGTAAGGCCTATTTCAGCACTCATGAGGCAGAGGCAGGCAGATCTCTGTGGGTTCTAGACCAACCTGGTCTACAAGAGCTAGTTCCAGGACAGCCTCCAAAGCCACAGAGAAACCCTGTCTCAAAAAAAATCTATAAGTAACTAAGTCTCTGGGCATGCCCTAGGATGGGATGGATGTGGTTCTCAAAGACCTGAGTCCATTCTTGTGAGAGCAAGGAGTCAACTCGACTCTCTTTGGCTTCCTGCCTCACTATGTGATCTCTATTGCACTTCTGGCATTGTGATGCCGTCTCCCATGAGGCCACACTTCTGTCACTGTGATGCTATCCACAATGAGGCCACACTTCTGCCATTGTGATGCTATCTGCCATGAGGCCACACTTCTGCCATTGTGATGCTGTCTGCCATGAGGTCACACTTCTGCCATTGTGACACCATCTATCAAGACATCATACTTCTGTCACTGTGATGCCATCCGCCATGAGGCCATACTTCTGCCATTGTGACGCTGTCTTCCATGAGACCAAACAGATGAGGCCACTGGATCTTAGACTTTCCACCTTCAAAGCTGTGAGCTGAGTAAGCCTCTTTTCTTGATAGGGCTCCTAGTCCAGGGTGTCTGGGTATAGCAACAACAGACTGGCTACCACGTCAAGCAAACAGACAAGACTATAAAATAGTGCTATATAGGTAAAGAAGCCATTCTGTAACCTGAAAGGGGGATTGTGTCCAGATCCTCCATTCCCTTCTCTTGCGATATCTCCAATACCACAGAAAGCAAAAGCTCTTCAGTTGATTGTCTCTTGGCATGGTGTCTTTTCCAAGCACAGTTGACTAGTTTCTGGCCTGAGGAGTGTCTGGGATTTATCCTGGGAGATGAGACACAGGATAGTGTACCTGGAGCTACAGCATAACCAACGAGATTTCTGCATTGATTGGGAGCAGAAATAGAGAGACTACATATGGATGAGTGAGGTTTACACAAATTAAGCTTAACTGACACATGAAGAAAGAAATAACCTGGGTCCTCACTCTGCTGCCATCCATGGACCACAGGAGACTCAAGGGGGAGGGGAGAATCTGTGGAAAGCTTCAATGAGGAGTGGAAGACACCAGATCCACTCTGCTGACCTCAGTCCAGTGCCGAGCAGTTTAGCTAATCTAAAGGGAAATACAACAAAGAAAATGAGGGATAAACAGTTACCAAAGAGCAAAGTAGGCAGGTACTGCACTCTGGATGGTGAGTCACCCCAGATGGTTCATGACCCCTCATCAGGCATTTGGGTGCATTGTTTTTTCTTGGATCTTCAATCTCCACCCTGTCCAAGCTACATTCACCTTTACCATCAAGAGGACTCAAACATCTTGCTCCAATTCTTTCTTCACCATAAATGCTGTCTGATGACCCTCCCATCTTTTACCACCCATCTTCTCAAGACTTGGCCACATTCCCCTACTCTGCGCCTTCAGCTTCTTCTTACTGTCATGCCTCCTAAATGCTGCCCTGCCTCCTCTCCACCCTCACCCTATGCTCTGACAAAACTACTCTTTGCCAGGTTACAAATGGCTAACTGTTAATTCCCCATAAGTGCCCTGCTTGTAGAACCCAGCTCCCTTGGTGTTCTCTTCTATGAGTGTCGTCCTTAGAGATTCTTCTTGGATCAGGACTCTTTGAGTGAGTGCTCCACTAAGCACATCTTTGGCCCTCTCCTTGGCCTATGCAGCACCCTTGAACAGTCTCCTCTTACCGCTGATAGGATACTGTATCCTAAGGGTGTGTGTCCAGGCTGCCTTCCAGAGCTCATTTCACATCGGCCTTCTGGGCGTGTCCTGCTGAAAGCCATCGGTAGCTCTGCATATCCTCTTCTTCCACCTCTCCCTGCCCCAAACTCTGGCTCCACTTCTTGACCCATTTATCATCTCACCCCTCCCACATCATCACCCAACCTTCCTTCGCTGACACCCCTTTTTCTCAAAGTCATTAAGTTTAGCTAACCTTATATCTGGAATATTCTGGATCATGTTATGTTCTCCAACTCCAGTGCTTCCTCCTGAGCTCGTATCCTTCACATCTCTCACAGCCTGTAGCAACTACCTAACTGGCCCTTCTGACCAATCTCTGCCAAAACTCCTACTGGTGCCCACCCCCCCCCCCCCATTGCCACCAGAATTACTTTTCTGGAAAGTGAGAGCCACATCTTTTTACTGCAGAGAGAAATCCTTGCTGGCTGTCTTGTTAACCACAGGACAAAGTTGAAAATCCTTCACGTGTTACATATGCTCCTCGCCGCTTGGTACTGGTTTTACAGCACATAACCAGCCCAGCCTTCACTGTATTTCACAGTGTGACTTCGGCCATCCCCATGACTGGTGAGCATCGGAACCCACACTCTTCCTTCTCATGACTCCCCCCCACTTACATATGCTTCTCTTTCTGCCTGGAACCCTCCACACTCTCCCCTGTACTACACCCCACTTACTCTAAGAGTGACATAATGTCACCTCTCCATAAAGCCTTGTCACTACCTCTAAGCAAGTCACTTACTGACAAATGTACCAATGTGCCTTTAGTATTGTACAAGATGCTAGAGACAACGGGTTAAAACAGAAAGTCCCTTTCCCTCATAGGTCTTGAGATCTAGTAATATGGATGAAACTATATGTAGATATTTATAGATATTTCAAATTGTGACAGACACTGAAGGTTATAAACCTCCCATAATAACACAGAACAAAGGGGCTTAAGTAAGTTGGGCTTGTTCTTTGGCCATACTGCTGTTTACTTTGCGTTTCTCGATTGTCTGTGGTAGAATATTAATGTGGTTGTGTTTTGTTTCGTTTGTTTTTACACACCTACCTGTTTGGCTAAATGAGTGATTTCATTAATGAAGCACGAGTCCATCTGATCTCAGATTTGAGAAACCTCCTACAACTAAATAAAGTACATTCCACCTGTCCTTGTGCCACTTGCAATCTCATTTTAATAAACGCCAATTTAAAAAGATTGAATGCAAGTATACACTTAATTTCCCCAAAACTGACTGGAGCTACTTTTAAGGGAACCAAAAGCCTTGGTCATGGTGAGAGAAATAACACTTGCAGGAGTATGTGGTATCTTAGACAACCAACATTCCATGATGACATTTAGATCAGCCAGGCCAAGTGGCTTCCCCCCAATCAAGACAGATGTCACTGATTCTAGAAACCGGCCTCAGTGGGACATCATGGGGTCTTTTCTGGCTGTGGTTGAGACTTATTTGAGAAATGGAACACCATCCAGAAGAAAACTTGGAAAGGGGTTATCTGAGGGATGGATGGACAGCTGCTGCTTGGTCCCTGTGGAAGCCTCTGGACCTGGTATTTAACAGTTCTGCTGCCAAATGTGCAGACAGGCTCGCAGAGCAAAAGTCACCACTGCAAACCCCGCAGACTGGAGAGAAGGGAAATGGATGCTGATTACTTTCTGTGTTCTTCCTTCTTCCAGGGGGAGAAACAGCTATGCAAGATGACAGGAGAGTTTAATACAGACAGCATGATCCAGGAAAAGGATGGGCTAGGGTTACTTTGTGTTTGTGGGGTAGTTTGATAAGCAGGAGTGATGAGTGTATTCCAGAAGCTTCCACACACATGAAAACATTTAGGCAATAGCCAAATTAAAAAAAAAAAGTTTTAAAAACCATAGAGTGCTACAACAGCTGCCCTAGGAAGGCTGCCTGACAGCACAAGAATCCAGCAGGTGGGGACTTGTGTTCCAAGGGCTTGCTCAAAGAGACAAACTGAGAATTGTGATCTCACCAGGGTGTGAACCCCAGAATCCAAGCAGCAGATGGCATGATTTTGTGGAAAGGCCATAGAACCAGGGTCACCAACTGGGGACAGCATCCCAGCTTTTCTCCCTACCCATAGAATGACTTGCACAAATTTCTAGGAGCCTTGATCAAAATCTAAATCAAAATCTCCTCCTTGATCATTTTTAAGATCCTTTGAAATTTGAAAGAGGATAAATTTTTAACCAATAGAACCCTTTATGGCATTTTC